GCTAACAAAGGTCAAGCTACATTTCTCATTCATGAATCTCATACGAAAAATTGTATGTATCCATTCATATATGAAAATGATTTTTTAACTACCCTTTTATTGTTACATAGAGACAGTATTAACAACATTTTTATTAACTATTAACAAAATTTTGCTAACAATATAACCATTACAAAAGTTTTTCTCAACTATTCTTAACTTAGTGGGAAACGTGAAATGGTATAGATCCATTAGTTTGATGTTATAAAATTATGTAAATAAACATTCTCAACAAATTATTATCGTTTAAAATTATACAAAGAGGAATAGAAATCATCTCTGAATACCAAAGGTATTGAAGAATGTTGGGATATCCGGGATATCCGGTTCTAGATATCATCATCTGAATTCGATATCTGAGAAAAAAACAAGGGAATTTTGATTTGGATGAATAAAATGGGTGCAAAAAGCTTTGAATGTGATCAAAATTCCAAAATTCTTTGACACGGCTGACCAGGCAACTCCACCCGTCCTAATATCACAACAAATTAAAGGGTTTTTTATTCTGCATGTGCTGTACTATTTTTTTGAACATATATAGACATTAAGGGGGAAGGGGTGGGGTTTCAACCCTACATCTTAAGGTAAGATGTCTTTTTACAATATTTAAGTGATCACTTAATTCTCTGCATGTGCTGTCCTATTTGTGGTCTTTATCAAGAATTTATAACTTGTTGACATTCTGTCGAGTTCGTTTTTGAAGCAATTAACATTGTAGAGGAAAGAAAAAAGTGGAAGCAATTGACATCGATAATTTATAAATGTGTAAAAAAGTGTATTTACCCAACAAATCATGCCTCATACTTCTACAGAAGCCCCTTTTTTCCTGCAAGAATTTGCAGTGGACAATGTTAATTTATTCCAGTTCCTGAAAATGTTTTGAAATATTTATTTTTTTTAGATTTATGAGATGTAATAAGAAAAAATCATCTATATGTGTAACAACTAGAAATTAACAACTAGATAGAACTTAAAATTAAAAGCTTAAAATATGAAAACTTATTTCATTTACGAAAGTTGTTTATTTTGATCTTAACATTATAATTTTTGACAATTAAAACCAAAAACTAATTGAAAACATGCCCTAAAATTATCAAAATCATCAATACTTTAATTTTGACACTATATAATCTATATATAATACATATCCTACTCCCACGAAATTGCCTTCTTCTCTCATGGACAAAAATTTGCTTCATCAGTCAAATATTTAAATTTTTGTAAAAATCCAATGAAAAACATTGGTTATCTAATTCAGACACATGGGGCAGCACAGGCCAGCTTGTTAAGTGACTAACTCCCCACTTAACTTTTTTAATTTATATTTGTACTAAGAAAAACTTATTTAATTTTGTATTTTAAAAAATATCCAAATTAATTAATTTTTAGATTTTTATTATATGATATTTTGGTTGAGTACGTTCCCTTTTGCCTTGGTCTGTGCATTGTTGTGTTATTGGTACGACATGAGATGGAGAACTATACTACATTAAATTAAGTTTATATTAATTAATTTTTTTAAATAATTAATTATTAATTGTAACCCCACAAGAAAAGAAATGTAAAATATTATATCATTGGTTTCGCTTTGCTTCGTTTTTGTGTATTAATAGATTAAGGAATAAAAGTTATTTTACTGGAATGGTCGGTTTTGTTGTCCAAAACCACTCAGAGAGCTTCGAAAAACAAGCGGCCACACAGGTGTTTCCACGGGTTTTCCTGGCAAGGAAGGAAAGTAGGAAAGGTCTCCATTCTTTTTTTTTTTCTTCCTTCCTTCGAAGGTAGGAAGGGTCTGGAACTTTTTTTTAAAAATAATTAATAGATTTTTTTATTCAATATTTTTGTCAATACTCATTAATTTAATAATTAAATATGTGGTCGAAAATTTTTTGTTTTAAATTCAAATTTAAAATAATAGTTTTTTTTTTTACATTAATCTTCCGATATCCAGTAACTACGTTGAATATCGATTAATCTAAAATTGAGTTGCATCAAACCTTATTAAGGAGAAGTTTTCCCAATGCATATTTCTCTATTTACAAGACTTAAATTCGAGATTTTACTTAAAAAGAGTCAATTTCCTTTTATTTGGACCAATAAATCATTGGTATTTAAAATAATATTTTGTTAATAAATATTTTGTAAAATATGTTAAACTTAAAAAATATACCAATCATTATCCCTTTTTTTTCTCTTTTTTTTTCATTTTTTTATTCTTTTTTTTTTTTTCATTTTTTTATATATAGGAGGGACTACATTTGAATATCTAAGTTCTTTTTTTTTTTTTTACAAAAATGTTATGTTTATAATGTCATATGATGTTTTAAACTTCTAATTTAGACGTGTTATTGTGTAATTTTTACTTGTTTTATTTAGATGTCTAGTGGAGAAATTCTTTCATACAATGAGACACTGCATCAATAGTATCCTTGTCCACTAATGTAGTTACTAATTAGAATATATGGCCTCCATTAATTTGTGATTAAATAATAAGGGAATTATAATAAGTTAATCTTTTTAGTTACAAGTAGAGGCTATACATGTTTGACATATCACCATATTAATAGATGAGGATAACATTGACATTATATCTCCATTGTACAAAAGAATTTCTCTTACTCATAAATTGATATGCATTCTTTCATTTAATACTATATTATTATTGTAAAATTATAATATTATATTATTTTTATTTTTTAAATAAAACTTAATTATTTTAAGATTGAATCTACTTATAAGTAAATGTCATTTTATAGATTATAATTCAACCAAATGACCCATTTTGAAGGAGATTTGTGGCAGAGACTACGAAAAAGGAAAACAATTGTTAAGCAACAAAAAAGAGTTAAAGAGGTTTTAGTATCGAATCCCATTGCCATTTCCAATATGTAATTGTTACAATGACCTAAAAGGGTGCAATTAGCAAACGAACTAACAGTAATAATAATTCTTTTCTCACAATAAAATAAAAAATCTTCAATTCGAGTAATACAAAATACACATCTAAGTGGGTAAAGAAACCTTCCCATGCGCAGTCGAACATCAAGCAAAAATGCAACTTGTAAGGACAGGTTCAAGATTGATGATATCGGACATACTACAAAGCGATTTCTTAATGAATGAGATACGATGTAAGTTCAGCTCTTCCTGGTCACACAATTGCATGGTAACTACAGTATGCATGCCCGCATTCAATCTCTTATTCTCGAGATCATCGCCTGATTGGATACATCGGACCCCGATTATTTTGTTAAACAAGCCATGCGAATACTTCATTAAAACTTATAAATACTCTTATGAGTCACTTCCAAAAAGTAATTGAAATCGATCTAAAGTTTTTTTTACAATCTTTTCTTAAGGTAGACCAGATTATTGCTAACTTAAGTATCGAATTGTTTATTTTGAGGATTTATCTCGGGGCTTTACAAGATTATTTGAAGAGAAGATCTGGACCGAAGAAAACTTAGTGGTTTGTTGCAACTACACAACTGTTAAAAAAATGTGGTTTTTCTTTCAAAAGAATGCATTTGTAATGGTCCACAACTCACGCCACACGGGTACAATAGAAGATAATTCGAAAACTTTGAAACAGATTGGATCCAACACTGTAGAAGATCCATTTCCAGGCCCAACTCTAAAACTCCTAACCTGTTTGACAATTCTTCAACCGAAACCAGAATCGATATATCCCAAGGCCCACAACATGTTTCCATGTGCGGAACTGCGGATGTGTAATTAGTTTGGGCAAAAAGCCCAAGTGGAGAAAGATAATTTCAAATTTCAAATAAATCAACACTGGGAAAGGCCAATGAAAAGAATTTTTAATATTTCTCTTTGATGGATTCTAATTTCTAACATCAAACAAAATAACGTCTCGTGAATTATTTTAGAATAAATTTTTTTTTTTTATAGTTTGCTTTGAATTTGAAAACATTCAGTTCATGGTTGGAAATTATAAAAAATATATATATTAATAAATCAAGGATGCATAAACTCGATATTTCTCTTATATTGTAAAAATAAAAAAAAACAGAGAGTAAATTTCTCTTCCTTTTTCTTTTCTTTTTTCCTTTTTTTTTTTTTTTGGGGTCATATTATCTTCATTTTGCATGAACATCGACTTGATGACAAAGCTTTTAAGATCAAGATAAGATATAAATCACTAGATAGCGACAGAGCTACAAATCAACCAAAAATTTTATGATTTTTTTGGATTTACAATTAGGATGTCTTTAGCCACTTTACATGTCATATCTTGAGAGTTATACTTTTAGGAGTTTGTTAAAAACAAATAATCTATTTCAGAACTTGAAAATTCATAAACAATTAACTTTTTATTGATTTCTCTAAAAAAATTAGAACTTGATCAATAAAGTAGGTAACAAAATCTCTTGCTAATTATGTTATAACTTGTTATAACTTTTTAAGTACCAAAAAAAAAATATATATATATATTTAAAGGAGCGGCCATGTTTCTTGAGATAGCTTTAAATTGTTTGATTGGTAAGAGAA